TTTTTTTTGAGACAGAGTCTCACTCTGTTACCCTGGCTACAGTGCAATGGCATCATTGTAGCTCACTGCAACCTCAAACTCCTGGGCTCAAGTGATACTCCTGCCTCAGCCTCCCAAGTAGCTGGGACTACAGATGCGTGCCACCATGCCTGGCTAATTTTTTCTAATTTCAGTAGACACGGGGGTCTTGCTCTTGCTTAGGCTGGTCTTGAACACCTAAGCTCGAGTGATCCTCCTGCCTCGGCCTCCCAGAGTGCTAGGATTACAGGCATGAGCCACAGCGCCCAGCCGAGATTGTTTTTTCAAGGCCTGAACACCAAATAAATTATCTCAAGTTGGTCTCAGTTCTGTAGAACAGGCAGATCACATGCTGGAGTATAAAGAGGTAATGTAACTCCAAGCCTTTTCCTAACATCAACTTAATAATATCTACCTTTCTCCAAGGAATTTTTTTAAAAATGCAATTTTACATATTGTCCCTTTATATAAAAGACTTAACTCTCAGAGTTAGGGGGCATTTTGAACAGCAGCTTCTCTAACCTCTTAATTTGTGCGTTTTAAATAGAATCAGTAATTTCTAGAGAATTACTAAATTCTAAAGAATAAAAGACCAAGTCCCTAAGGATTTTGTCTAGGTCACCAAGTGGCTCAGTTGTGAAATCAGTCTTAAAAACTAAGTCGATTTTCTCTTAGACCTATCCTTTGTTGCATAGCTGACTTCGAAAGTCATATTTTAGTACACACCAACTTTATTAGAAGATTTTTTAATGCTAATCTTTTTTTACTTCATCATCTTTTTTCCTAAACTTTCTCATTCTTGAGCTCAACAGCTACCCTCCTGCCTTGCTAATTAGCATGTGGAATGCAGTTTAATTTTTACCAAAGATCCAAAGACTTAAAAATGACATTTTGAGCACTTGGTGCTTAACACTTAAGGATATTCGGTTCAAACGCTCTAGTGATTAATTTCAATTTTGCTGCACAGGAAATAGAGGATTTGAGATAAAGGAGGTTACACTTCATCAAAATATTTTAAAGTAAAAAAAGATAACAGAAGACAGTCTGTAACAGGCAAGGAAAATGAAGGGAGAAACAAAATAAGCATTTTCCTTTCTTTTTAACCAAACTATATAAGAATGTTCCTAAAAATGTGTTATAGGGTATTAACAGGTACTGTACATAAAAGGATGCTATGGTCTGGGAAACAGTTGTATGTCCCCATCTCCATCTCTCTAGGAGTCACACACTGGCAGAAGGAGGCTCCAAAATGTTGCTTACCATTTTATCCCAATATTCCCCAAACTTATAAGGGCCACAGAATGTTTTTTACTATAACCTCTGGTTAAGCTTATTCCATTTTGTTACCATCTTGTTTGAATTCATTTTAGCAGCTGATCCAAAATCCACCAGCTTGATGTGTCCCATTCGGTCAATGAGAATGTTCTCAGGCTTGATGTCTCTGTAAGAAAATCAGGGCCACGGATTAGTGTCGTCTTCTCCATGCCAATTAGCAAGCAATTGCTAACCTAGAATCTCAGTTCAGCCAAGAATCTTGGTTTATGTATTCTGCTATATCGACCTCCTTTATTGATGGATATAAATGATTAGCATACATTTTGCAAAACAAATTTAATTAAAAAGAAGCAAGGAAGGAAGAAGGGGAGGAGGGAGAAAGAGAAAGCAAAGGAAAAAAATACATATTATTACATGGATTATTTCTCCTAGAGACACGCATTTTACATTACGAAAGCTAAGGCCAAAAGAAGCTGGGAAATTGCCCAAGGTCATGTGGCTAGCCAACGGAAAAGCTGACACTCTTTCAGATTTTGTGATTCCTAGTCTAGCCATCACTGCGTTCCCACAATATTCTTGGATATACATAAAACATCAGATGAATGAGGACATGAAGAAGCCCATTTATCGACTGAGGATTTTATGGAACATCTTTATAAATTACTAACAGGCACAGTTAGAAATTAACTCCATGGTTTTCCACTCCTATGGGATATGCCATTTCCTTCTGCAAATCAAATTCAGTTCTTCTATCATATAATCCAAAGAACCCATCCAAGGGTTCCCAGTCTTATTAGCTACATTAACAGATCTTACTAGCAAACTTGAGAACATTACAATTCTAGATCTATTGCACTGTTGAACCAGCAAGCTGAAATGCCTGCCATTTTGGAAAGTTTACTTTTGGCCAGTTACAAGTAAGATTGGCTAAAAATTGGATGGAGTGTTATTTTGATCCCAAAACCATTCATCCACTCATTTCCATGCAGGAGTTCTTACGTGATACAGAAAAATCCTCAGTGTGTCACCTGAAAGTCTTACTTACCGATGTACATATCCCATCTGATGAACACTGTGAACAGCCAAAATCAGTTCAGCTAAGTAAAACTGAATCATAGTTTCATCTAATTGGTCCTCATATCTGTTCAATAGTGACAGCAAGTCCCCTCCAGGCTGATATTCCATGACCTGTATGGAATGCCAAAGTTATTAATTCTTCACACACCCAAAAATAGAGAATGCCTCAATTAGATCCTCAAATACTGCCTGACGTATTATAATTACAACGTCTCCACAAAGCAACGAAGATGTGTAAGACATATTGTAAGTCACGTAGCATGAGGTCCCTGCCCTAAGGAAATTATATCCATTACCCAAGAGAATCAATATAATGAAAGACTAGTCCCAGATACCATGCGCAGTGTTTGCAAGGCAAGCTTGAAAAGTTGAATTAAATCCACCCACTTCCCCACCTACCCAAATCTACACCCCAGACATTCCCTAGGATTACGTACACAGTGTAGATGGATATTCCTAGAGGGCAACAAATTCTCTTATATCCTTTTTGCATTCCTCTCAGCACCCAGCAGAATATAGGCTGTGTGCAAGAAACATAATACAATCTTTTCCTTTTACAGTTGGTGTAGAAGGCAATAGACAGCCTCTATTAAAAATTTAAATGTAAATATATACCTTTGACCTAGTAATTCTACTTCTAACAATTTATTTTACAGGTATTTACAATAGTTTGCAGATAAATAGATTCACTGCAGCACTGTTTATAACAGGGAAAAAAAAACCTGGAAATCATCCACATATCTATCAATAAGAGATGAGCTAAAACATGATGTATCTAAACAATGGGATATGATGCAGATATTAAAAGCAAACGGATTCCATCTATGTATACTGCCATGGAAAGCCATCCATGATAATATAAAGTGACATCCTGTATAGAATAAAGTACAACCCCTTTTTTGAGAGAAAAAAATAAATTATTACATATATTAGTACATATAT